TGGGACTGGGGTGCAATGGGACCGGGGTGCAACGGGAGAGGAGTGCAACGGGACGGGAGTGCAATGGGACTGGGGTGCAATGGGACCGGGGTGCAGCAGGACCGGGGTGCAACGGGGCCGGGGTGCAGCGGGATGGGAGAGCAGCGGGATGGAGGTGCAACGGAATGGGGGTGCAACGGGACCAGGGTACAGCGGGACGGGAAAGGGGCTAGGTTGCAACGGGACGGGGGTGCAACGGGACGGGGGTGCAACGGGACGGGAGTGCAACGGGACCGGGGTGCAGCGGGACAGGAGTGCAACGGGATGGAGGTGCAACGGGACCGGAGTGCAGCAGGACTGGGGTGCAGCGGGATAAAGGTGCAAAAGGATGGGGACGGGGAAGGCTGCAAAGGGATGGGAGTGAAACGGGAGGGGAAAGGTGCCGATTTGCAACGGACTGGTGTGCAACGGGACGAGAGTGCAACGGGATGGGAGTATAATGAGAGGGGAGTGCCACGGGGTTGGGGTGCAGCGGGATGGGGGTGCAAAAGGACGAGGTACAAAGGGACGGGGGTGCAACGAGGCGAGGGGCAAAGAGAGGGAGGCAAAGGCGCAGGGGTGCAATGGGACYGGGTTGCGACGGGACAGGAGAGCAATGGGGCAAGGTACAAAGGGAGGGGAGTGCAACGAGGCAAGGGGTAAAGAGAGGGAGGCAAAGGGGCGGGCATGCAACGAGATGGGGGTGCAACAGAACAGGGGTGCAACGGGTAGGAACGCAAGGAGTGCAGGTGAGGGAGAGGCTGAGTGGAGGGAGGGGAAGCGGAGGGAGGGCAAAGGCAGAGGGGCAAAGGGGCAGAGATGCTGAGCGCAGGGATGCGAGTGAGCCAGAGGTGCTAAAGGCGGAGGTGAAAGGGGAGGCGTGTGAAGGGGAGAGCTGCAAAGATGAGAGCTGCAAAGGGATGGAGGGGCCGTGAGGAGAGCTGCAAAAGGGCCGAGATCCTGGCATGGGGACAGATGGTGCCCGTCCCCCTGGGGGCATCTCTGCCCGGCAGCCTGCAGCTGGCTTTCAAAATGCAGAAAGGTAAAAATAAAGACCTGGGTATARATATATTTTTGTTTCCTACCATTTCTTCCAAGATTTGTCTGAGATGGCTTTGAGCTTTTCCAGCTTTCAGCAGAGCAGCTCAGAGACCGTCTCCCACGAACGGCTGCTTCTCCGGAGCRTCACGGGGCAGCCAGCACCACTCACAGGCTGAAATCACTTCTTCCTATCGCGGTGTTGTCCTTTCCCCACTTCTGCCCTCACTGGAGATAASAGAGCCAGGAAGGGGCTTGGAACACTTTAAAACTTAAAAACTATTTTATTTTATAATATATATATATCACACAAAATTAGTTCCAGTTATAACTCTCCGYGTTTGTGATGGTTAATAAAGGTTTGAGCTATTTGGTGCCTCAATGTCCTCTTCCACCCATCTGTCTGTATCTACTTACATCTCCCACCCTCTACATCAGCTGGGAGTTTTGGAACAGAAGTTTCCCTTTTTTTTCGGTTGTGCTGTGCCTGCCACTGAGGGGTCCTTACACACAACTCACAGGCAAAAACATGATTCAAAAGTTAAATAATTCTGGGCCAAATTCATCCCAGGGAGGCAAGACTTTCTCTGCGACAACCATCTCTCTCCAGAATAACTTCATCACACTCAGCTGTGGGTAAAATATGGGCTGAGGCATTTAGTAAAGGTAGCATTTGTGTTTCATAATGACACAGCCCCAGGGTTTATTTCATGACAGTTTTATGGAAGAATAGCAAAGTCAGATATTGCCAAAACAGAAATAGGCTTCTTCTTTCTCTTTTTTTTTTCCTGACAGAAACTCCAAAATGACAGATAGAGCTTTGCTAACATTTTTATCTGTTTCTTGGAAATCAACAAATTGTTTCATAACTTTTCAGAAAAAAAAAAAAGCATTCAGTAAGCCACAAAGGATTGTTTTTAGAAAGAAAATATCCTCAGGAAATTCCTATAGGTCAAGTAGCTAAATATTTTTTTAATGTTTTCCACCAGAAAAAAACCTGCTTTTGTTTTGGAAACAGAGGGGCCAGGATTGCAGTCGAAAAGGAGGTTTCACAGCCTCCTTCAGTAGATCTTTAGATACAAAAAAAAAAATAGGGACTAAGTAAGAAAACAAAGGCTTGAGATTATTGTTGACTTCATTTCCCAAGGCATTTTGTGTGACAGTATGCAAGAACCAGGGAAGCCCAGAAATTTTTGCTTTAGCCATACCCAGTTCTTCTTTAAGACTTCATTTTGGAAGGTTTGTCTCCCCATCAGGCTCAGTAGCCCTTTGGGAGATGTTGGGACACTCTGGCAAGTTCCCCAGGGTGTTCTGACTCTGCATGACAGATCTTTCTGCAAATGAAAGTTTGCTCCTAAGGGTTTTTSAGTTTCTCCTGTGCAAGATACCAGATAACACAGGCCACCAAACCTCAGCATCTGCAGGAGGGTGCCCRGGCAAGAATACCTGTAGAAGAACAAGGTGGGTTGGAGAAGATGGTGGAGGCACCTTGCTTCCACCAGGAGCAAGGTTCGAGGCTGAGACTTGCATGCTGCACGTTCCCTTGGTCATCAGTGGATGAGCCTCTGAAGTGATAGTTGGAGACCCAAGCAAATATGCAGCATCATGTAGAGAGGGTGAGAAGCCCTGCAAGTCAAAGGAGATGTGAAGCCCCTCACGCACAGATGTGCCTCCGCACCACAGCTGGCACTGGAGCCTGAYGGCATTAGCAACAGCTGAATCCTGGGTTTGGAGCAGCGATGCCCTGGTGAGTTATTATCCACATTGCTACTGCTGAGGAGATAGAGCTGCTGGAGAGAAGTCTGATGTACATTGATGATTTTGTCTTGGGAGACAAGTTCTACTCTACATTCCATTGTTCCTTCAGTAGATATTTAAGAGAGTGATAYGGGTAGAAGAGTCACATCTGAGCTTCAGCTCTGCTTAGGGTATATTGCATGTGAGTAATGATCGCTTTGTCCTCCAACCACTTTGGGAACACCAAGTGATCTGCTTGCTATGATCTGCTCCACTATTGCTTGCATTTCAGGTAGCTGTTATGTAATGGCTGGGAGGGAGGACAGGGTGAGAAGAGGAGGGACAGAGGCAGTTTGGATCCAAACCACGGACTTTCCTTAACGCCACTGTTAGCAGTTAAAATGAAAATGCTGGAGTCTGTCTCAGAAAACGTAATCACGTTTGTTGGCAATCAGTTCTGTTTTTGCTGGAAGTTGTCTTTTTGGAGGYAGTTACTGGGGTGTGGAAGCAAGCAATTAGTGTTCTCCTGAACTTCTGTGTGATCCTGCAGCTATAGTAGTTCCTGCATTCTGAAGCTACAATGTGAATCAGTGGAGCTGACTTCAAAGCCAAGCAAGCTCAGATGTCTCGCTGTAATTCTGGAACAGGTACAGGACTCGCACTAATCTGCATATGAAAGTAAAAATGCCTTTCATTTCAAAGGCCTAATTTCYTAGCTCACTTCCATGAATGTCTGCTAGTGCTGTATCCAGTATCGCTGCACATTTTCAGGGTGGCTGATCTTCCAGTGCACCTTATGGGACCTCACACTGTCAGGAAGCTCTTCTGACACCGACCAGYGTGTAACCCTTCACTCCTGTCACTGCCGTGCTGGTTCCTTGGACTATTTTTCTGGAGTTCATAAGCCACTTCTAAATTAATATTTTAATAATGAATTAGAATCCTTTTCATTCAGACCATGACAGTTATACAATTKTGCTCTTAAATTTTTCTTAACAGCAGTACAGTCAATTTTCTTCTTGCTGGTCATCTGAGGAAGGRAAAAGAAGCAAAAGCCTCTGAATCCTCTCAGAAGTCCCTTTTCTTCCAGCTTTGGATAACAAGGATTTAGTGATAAAACGTAAGGATTCAGAAAACCTCCTCAGAGTCTGCATCTTGAGATTGGAGTTTGCTCTTTCTCCATAGGCATCCAAAGGCTCATCCAAGACATTCCTCAGTGCAGCAGGATTCTTTTCTTCCCCATGAACCCAGCATGGTTCTGACGAGCACTGTAGCCAAAACGGGCTAATCAGAGGAGTATCAATAGGGCCAATTACTATCCCGACTGCACTTGCAGCCGGGCTTGCACGTGCCACAGTCATTCATTCACTTCTTCCTTTTCCATGGTCTTGTAGACGTTGAGATAGACTTGTGGTTTCCCCAGGCAGGAACTCTTCCTTCTCTTTCACACATCTCTACAGACATTGAAACCAAAGGTTAAGGAAACCCTCCCTCAGGGCTTCGATGTTTCCTTTGCTGTTTCTATGGTGATGCAGGTGATTTAAGTCTTTTAATATCACATTGCTATGTCTCTTTGCCTTTCAAGTATCCACAGAGCTGCGTGTTAGTCCAGGTATCTAACAAAAGAGCCGAGGGCGGCAAGTCTGGCCGCCTTTCTGATGGATGTAGGTGATCTGAAACCTCAGCCCAGCTGTCTTATATTTATATTCTCAGTAATTCCTTTCTAGTCTAGGGTACGAAATATCAAACCCAGATTTCTTCCCCCCGTCCACCCCTCTTCAAACTGGGCTACCTATGAAGATGAATATTTGGCTAAGCTAGTGTCCAAAAGGAAGAGAGGTTTTCTCTACCTTCTTATATCTATGCTTCTCTAAT